TGCCGTCGCTAGAAGCAAACGAAGCGAGGGAGGACATTTGCACTTTTGCTGGTCGAACTGAATCGAGACGCGATTCCTAAGGGAAATGAAGGGGTCTTATTACCCGTCGCGGCGGGACCAACCAAGGTACGCAAGGGTAAACAATTTTCCGGTGTATTTCCATACGTATGGAATACGGTCATCTCGTATGGAATACGGGTAATCCATATGGAACGTTCCATATGGATCAACTTAATCCATACGCTTATGGATAGAAAGCCTGGGGACCGGCATCGTGGTCACAAGGCCGGCAATGTGGTCTGAGATAAGAGGGGAAAGAAAGGAAAGTCACGTTGTTAACAAAATGACCCCGAAATGTGATATATTAGGTAGTTACTCAGACTGGGTATCGATCAATCATCGCCGATGCGCAAATGGCCCCATTGTGAGCCCTCTCTAGCCGATGACAGCTCGGGCGCCTTTCTTGCCCAATACACCCCTCTTCTTTGGTTTCGCGCTGCTGTTCTGCCCTTTCTTGCTCTTCAAGAATCCAAACATGCCGCCTGAGCCCTCATTCTCGCCCTCAGCGGCATTATTCGCATCCGCCGGTAGGGTCGCATCCTGAAGTGCCAACTCTGACCAGCTACGACCCCCATCGAGCCTCACCTGAACGCCCCCAGTGGGACTTGCGACTCGTTGGCCCACGATAATGGGGTGGTGACAGAGCTCCTAATAGTCCAGACCAAAAACTGGACTATTAGTCCAAACTGCAGTCCAGACTAGTAGTCCACGGACTATTAGTCCAAACTGCAGTCCAGACTAGTAGTCCACGGACTATTGGTCCAGTCTGCGTCTCTCGGACTAGACTAACGGTCCAGTCCGCGTCTCTTGGATTAGACTGACGGTCCAGTCCGCGTCTCTCGGACTAGACCGACGGTCCAGTCTACGTCTCTTGGACTGGACTGATGGTTCGGTCTGACTTCTACCAAACTGACCAGTAGTCCAGTCCGAGGGTCCCAGACTAACAGTCTGACTATTAGTCTGTCCAGATTCGGGGTGACTCAGGCAATGTCTTTCCAAATCTGTGGCCTGCTGCAGAGTGCCAATTCAACTACGCGATCCAACGCGTCCGACGCGTCCAACGCGTCCAACGCGTGACACGCGTTTGGTAAAAAATTCGACACACTGCTAAGATATGTTAGCCGGTACCGCCCAGCACTGCGTTAATCTATAGCAAACCAAGTATCTTGCAACTGAAACCATCGGCCTAACAAGATCCCAGAATTACATCTGTTCAACAGCAATCTAATTTTATAGCTTTGAATGGGCTACCTGGCCGGATTCCAGGAAGAATATCTGCAACGTGAGAGATGATGAAGTGCATGTTATCTGAGCGGCGATAACCGGCCCGGTGGCGTTAAGAGATACCAGCCCTGCCATTACAGGTAGGTGGCATGCAAAGTATCCCCTATCCGGCGCATGTAGGGTAGGTTCGCTCGCGTAACACGCACCTCAGCAAATCAATTGAGATGCCAGTAAACACGCAGGTCTCTGCGTAAGAATCATATTTCATACTGCTTACGATATAGTCACTGAATCTACCGTGCTGAGAGCTTCCGTCTGGTATCAATTCTATGATTAGAGATATATTCCCGAGTCGTCGATTTACAGCCGATAGAGACATGTCCGTGGCGTGGCGCAGTGAATCTTTATTGTTACGATCAATGTGGGGGATCGACCCAAAGCCTAGATTAAGCCAAGCCCAGTCCGTTTGAAAGATGTTTGTCTCTCAACCATTTTCGTCCACTCTCGCTATCCCATGTCATATCATTTTATCGACGAAGACGGGAGTCCGCTGGTCTCGTGGACCTGCGCCCAAGCCAAAATACACCCCCCGGACGGATGTGCCAGCGACTTCGCAGATCCCCCGCAGACCTTCATGTGGAGGCTCAACTTCCGCGCCCCCGTCGTTCAACCTTACGTGCGCAAGCTGAATAACGAACTCAAGAACACATTCTCATCAGACACCAGGCTGGCGCGAGAAGAGCGCGAAACCGGCGCGGGTGGAACAGTGCAACGACGATCCAAGGTTTTTCGTGAGGCATGACAGGATGTTGGCCCCTAGCGGCCGGCCATTGGCCAGCGAGCTGTGAGCAGAGGGAAGTCGAAGGTGGGTCCAAGTTGTGGGCGCTAGGCGGGCAGTTTCACGGTGGCCCCCAGACCGAGGAATCGGTTGGTTGCTGAGCATGGGGAGTGAGATCTCAGATGATTTGGGCCACAGATGGGGATCCAACGCCTCCAACGATTGGAAGTGGTTCGTTGATTACGCACCCTGCGGCTTGGCCCGAATGGCTACCGAAAGTTATGTCTGGGTATTTGGACTCATCCACTCTCATGTGTCCAGAATGGTCAGAGAGAAAGTCGTCTGCTACATAATCTCTGTGCCCACCACCATGGCACCATCGAAGTCGCCAGACAATTCTCTCCCACCGTGCTCTGTCATCACCACCCCTTCTGTCTACTTGCCATCTCCTGAATCATGTCTTCTATCATGGATTTCTCTGAGACTGCCAGTGCTATTGGCAGCGCCAGCCACCTGGATGATTCTGAACTTACAGTGGCCGCCCGTGCGCTGACACCATCGTCTTCGTCAACTCCTAGCATCTCCCGCCTGAGGACATCTCCTATTTGGGAGTATTGTCGAATAGAAGAAGGCAAGAGCATTCCGGCAGCCTGGGTCGATTCCAATGGAACGAAATGGTGGTATTGCCAGCCCTGCTTCGACAAGAAAAGAGAGAAGAAATACAATTACTCAGGTGGATCGTCCACCATCGTCAATCACTTGCGCAAGGAGCACAAGATTCTGATCTCTGGGAGACAAGAAATCCGGCGGGAAGTCACGCAAAATCGTCTTGGAGGCATCGCTGCATTCCTGGCCAATGAAACTCTACCCTCCGCCAAGAAACGCAAGGCGACGGCAGAGGCAGATGCACTTGACCAAGCCACCCTGCGCGAGCTGTACTGCCGCTACACCATCGCCTGCAGTCTCCCCTTTGCTCATGTTGAACAGCCTGCCTTTCGCGACTTTATCCGGTACATTTGTCCGGCTGCGGATGACTTCCTCCCGAGGTCTGGTGATACGGTTAAAAACGACTTACAATGGGGCTATGACAACAAAAAGGAGTTTGTAAAGCGAGCTCTGCAAAATGCCCTTTCCTCGATCCACATTGTTCCCGACAATTGGACATCGCCAAATTGTTTGGGCGTAATAGGATTCACAGTTCAATTCGTTACCGAAGATCACGGCTTGCAGTCCCTTGTGGTGAGGATAGAAGAATTGGAAGGACAGCACAGCGGCGAGAACATGGCAGAAGCCGTCATGGAGTTCATACGAGAATATGGAATCGCATCGAAAGTTGGATACTTCATGATGGATAATGCCAGCAACATGAACACCATGATCGACAAAATCTCCGACTACTTGGAACACGAGTTCGATGTTTTCTACGACCCTCTTCCGCACCGACTTCGTTGTTTCGGCCACATCATTAATCTGGCCGTGATGGAGTTTCTCATAGGAAAACGACCACCGACGACAGATTCCTACCGTGGGCCGTCCGACGAGGAAGTTGAGCAATGGAGAAAGCGAGGGACGATAGGAAAACTTCATAATATCGTGATCTACATCATGTGGACGCCCCAGCGGCTTCAAACGTTTACTGCTCTTAGCGACGGTCTGAGGTTACGGCGCGACAACGACACTCGTTGGAATTCGTGGTACAAAATGGTTGAGTGGGCACTCAGGCCTAAAGTTCGGCAAGCCATCACCATATTTTGTGCGCAAGAGCCGGCCCTGCAAGGGGCTGTGCTGATTTCCTCTGACTGGGTAACTTTGGCCGAGACTCACAAATTTCTTGAGCCATTTCACGATGCTACAATAGCCAACGAAGGCATGGGAGACTCCATATCTGACGTTCTGTCTACCATGGATTATCTCCTGCATCACATCGAGGCCGCCAAGAAGGCCACCACCCTACCCAACTTAGCTACAATGATGGAGACGGCCTGGGCCAAACTGGCCGACTACTATGAATTGACGGAAGATTCACCGGTCTATTCAGCAGCAACAGTATTAAATCCTTCTCTCAAGTGGGCTTACATGGAAAAGACTTGGGAGGACAGGAATGAGTGGATTGAGAAAGCTAAAGCTCGTGTGGGGGAACTGTGGAGGGAGACATACAAGTCAACCACCTCCTCCTTCCCTGTTTTTCGACCAAGCTCGGCCCAAGGGCCATCAACAGGACGACCAAATGGGTACAAAATGTGGATGAAAGAGCAAAAGGCTACGATTTTCAACATGGATGATGACGAGTACGAAGTGTACTGCCGCGAGCCTGTGCTGATGGTACCGGATCCGTTGAAATGGTGGCTAGAATCGGCCCAGCGAAGGCGATTCCCTAACTTATCCTTGATGGCCATCGACATTCTGTCGATTGCGCCTATGTCTACTGAGACAGAGAGACTCTTCTCCAAAGCCAAACTTACGGTAACTGACCAACGAGGATCTATGAATATTGAAACTTTGAATCTCTTGGAATGTTTGCGATCCTGGGACAGGAGCGCTCTGATAGTCCCTTCAGAAGTAAGCATTCGGCTTCGTGAGGTTTTCGATTGTCTAATTATGGACTCTAGTGTTGCTATGTTGATCCGGCAGCTACGGGTGCTATCTCTGATGCTTATGATTCAGAACGTGAAAAGGAAGGTGGCGGAGGAGACATTTCGACGATGGCATCAGGGGGCTTGGATGTCACACACGAGGGAGGATAAGTGGGGGCAACTGAGTGCTTGATTCCATGTAGTTCATTCTTTATATCATGATAGCGTCTGTATAGCGACGGAATTGCATTGTGTGCTTATGGAGGTACTCCGTGATGGCTTGGACCACTATCATCGTGATGCCTTCAACATTGGAGGCAGGTACGGAGAAGGGTCACATGTCACGTGTCTAGACTATTAGTCTAGACCGCAGTTTGCACTGCAGTCTGGGGTGACGGTGACGGACGGACCGATAGTTCAGTCTGCATATCTCGGTTAGACTGCCAGTCCAGTCTGCACATCTCGGTTAGACTGCCAGTCCAGTCTGCACATCTCAGTCAGACTGCTAGTCCAGTCTGACCAAAGTCAAACGGACTGCTAGTTTAGTCTAGCCAAGTCAAACGGACTAAATGGGCAGTCTGAGGTGTCCAGACGGACTGATTGGACTATTAGGAGCGCTGGGTGGTGACGGTTTGGGAAGTCTTTCTGGTACCGGGAGGGAGGGGCCGGCATAGGGGTAGTCTCGTCAGTCGTGATGGCCTGAAGAGCGATGTCCGGGTCGGGTTGCGCATCATCAAGGCCTCTGATGGCTTCAGTGGTCCTGTTGGGGTTAGCACACGGGCCACAGGTCAAAAGGATGAGCCACCTCACTTCTTGTATGCAGCCACAGTGTAGTCAAACGGCCGAAAGTCGGTATCAATCATCTGATATAGCTCATCCTCGCGGATCTCCTTATCGGTCGCATCCTCCATTAATGGCTCTCTCGGCTTCTGGCGTCTTGCTCGGGCCTCGAGCGGCGCTTCCTGCAAGAGCAGTTCTTCCACATGGTGGGTGATGTCGAAGTTGGTTTTGTGGGAGCAGGGAACAAAGATGGGCTCGATCCGCTTCTGCTCGAGAAGCTCAAAGTCGAAGACCTTGAAGAATTCGTGATTGGCGAAACTGTCCCATGTCGAACCCATGCGAGTGTCTCGGTTGGGGTCGAGGGCGGAGCCGATCGCATCGAGGCAGGCGAGCGACACGGCTGGCTGTGTGACGGGGTACTCGGGGTTGGCGGTCTGGATTTTCGAGCTGAGGGAGCCTTTGGAGCCACCGACAAAGGGTCGCTTTCATCGAGTCAGTCCTGCTCATCTAGCACACGGAGGGGGTCGAGAGCTATGTCGTCTGCTCAGAGAGAAGCGTGCAGCCATTGAGGCGTACCTTGTTGTAGATACACTCATAGAACAGGACACCCAGTGACCACCAATCCGCGCGGACATCGTATCCCTTTCCAGCATATACTTCGGGGGCAAGATAGGCTAGAGTACCGGACTTGCTCGTCAGAGTCCTGCCAGCGACGACGTCCGAGGACATATTCTAGGTCAAGGTTAGCAAATGCACACCTCCGGGGCGGAGACGGCAGGAACGTACAAAATCGGTCAAGTGGACGTGGCCGTCGGCGTCGAGAAGGACGTTGGCGGGCTTGATATCTCTGTGGATGATGTTCTGGCTGTGGATATACCTCAGGGCGCACCCCAGCTCGGCGATCCAGAACCTGACCGCCTCCTCGGTAAAGGTCTTTCTGGAGATGTGGAATCGCAAATCACCGCCGGTCATCAAGTCAACCACAAGGTACCTGTCGCTGCGAGTAAGCCACAAGCATGGCACGCCTCGGCAAGGGATTGGTGGGGCCGTACATGTACTCGATATCCTGGAAGCTGTATCTCAAGTTGCAAATGAAGGGGTGGTTGAGGCATTCGAGCATCCGCCGCTCGCGGATGATGTTTCGTACGCTCTCGGATCGTACGACTGCAGTCATGGCATGGTGGTCAGCGCAGGAGTAAACACATTGCACAACCTAAGGAGACAGGGCTTTGAGGCAGAGGGACGGGATGCCGTCGAGACGGGAAACGTGGGACGGAGAAAGAGCGAGTAGGTGGCGTACCTTCATCCTTGCGTATGTACTTGAGGGCAAAGGACAGGTTAGTATCCTTGCGCTCGACGATGCGTACCTTTCCAAAAGCGCCTCGGCCGACGACTTCCATCAGGCGGAAGTCGTTGAGGCTGACTGCGGCGGTGGGAGTCAGCGTGGGTTCGTGAGCGAGGTCGGTCTGAACTGGCGGTCTCGCTGCTGCGATGCCACAATCTCACTTCCCCGTCAGCGGGGAAAAGCGGGGGAAAAGAAGGAAGGGCGGGGAAAAAGGGAAGAGGGGGGTGGGGGCACGCGAGGACGGGGACAGGGCAGACATGGCAAGAATGGTGGGGTAGGTGGGACTTGCAGGCAGGGGCGCCGGGGATTCTCGTACCTTCGCCATTAAGGTCGACGGGTTTTCCTTGGCCGTTGCCCATGATGATGGTCTCGATGCAGAGGGCGACGTAGAATTATTCGTGATCGGTAGCAAAGCGCGATGCTGAAATTTGAGGGTAGGGCGAGCGACGAGTGAGGGTTCACGGTGCACTGGTAGGGGCGTGGCAAGAGCCGGAGAGGTGAGGGGGAAGACCGACTTAGAGCACTCGATTACCTCCGAACGTGAGGAAGCATCGATCCTGCCTTTGATTTTGCTTCCTCGCGTTATGTCTTATATCCAGAACTGAATTCGCACCCTGGCAAGACTCCGGGGACGTTGAGAGACCTTGCTGATTAGACGTCCGGTGGTGGCGGCACGTCCCCAGCCACTGATGGTGGATACTTCTGCGTTAGGTCGCAGCAACACGGTCCGCCTTGAGGGGTGCCTGAGCCGCATTTGATGCACTTGGTATCTGTATGGACAGGTTGGGGGAAGATCGCGCTAGGACCGCTATTGGCCGTAGCGGCTCCTGCTTGGCACCAACAGGCAATAGCGTTTGCACCTACTAAGACCCAAGAGCGCGGGAACTCGTTAGGGACGACGGTAACACCTCTGTGCCCAGTTTTGCGACTCGCTTCCAGGCAGCAGACCGGCGGCCTGGGTCTGGCGGGCGGGCTACACTCTTCCTGATGATCCAGGGGTAAGACCTCAGGGTGGAAAGGTCCAATCAGGCAGGATTAAATGGGGCTCTCTGTCCCATGCAATGGACCCTTGTCAATTGTTCGCAATTTCATGGTGGGCGTAAGGCTCTCCACAGGGCAGACAAATTGGTTGTCCACTGGCGATGCCAACTTAAATAGCAGGGACCCATGGTTGGCATTGTCCATCTACGTACGTACCTACTTAGAAATAGACATTGTTCGAATTCTTACGGAGTAGCAGTGATCAAAATGCGTTGCGGAAGTGCGATTTGTTATGCTCAATCATCGAAGGGCTTGCTAGATCACCAACGACGCACTTACATGACCGATTCCCACCGTCCCTGGTTGTCACCAAAGAATCGGATAGGAATGAGTTACGTGCCGCACGACATGGATGGCTGGAGCAGGGGAACAGAACGGAATTTGCCATTCATCGACAGGGTTTAAAACGTGTGGCAGTCGGGGCTTGGGACCCCCCAAGACTACTTCAATAGATCTTAAGATCCATGCTTGTGTAGCGGCGGCCCAGGGCGGAGATTTCCAGCCTCCACGATCGAGTCGCTTGGCATGCAGGACTCGTTGCTACATGGTCATGCCCGAGACGTAACTGACCTAACCGGACTTGAAAACGAGCATCACGATCACTGAGGGAAAAAAAAAAACAAGCGTGGACTCGCGCCCGACATGTTCAAAATCGCATCAAGGGCTGCTCAATCTAAAACAGGCCTAGTGCGATGACCATGTTGTCTTACCACAAGGACTCTAACCCCCTTCCCTACTGACGGCAGATTCCGCTCGAACCTCTGTAGGTGCTAGTATGAAGCCGTGACCCCTGAGATCTACGCCCTGCAGCGCGTCTTGGCATCGAGCTCCGTGGCACTAAATCCTGGCCATCCATTACCTCAAGTCCTATTGCTTTCCACCAGACGGGTTTCGCATGGCCAGTCCGACAATTGCTCAAAGAACTGGAAACCCCGTCCAGCAAACTCTGTGCCAAGAGGGTCACCTCCACTGAACTCGAGTATTCGAGCCACCAAAGCTGGTCAGGCGGGTGTGCCGCGAGTCGCGATTCGAGACGAAGTGCGGAGACGACCACGTAGGCGCGACTCTACCTTCTCCATGCGCCCGCGTGCACACGCCGGAGATATCACATTCAAGGGATCAACTAGAACACAATCAGCACACACCTACCGACCGGCGCGTCCGTGCGAGGTTATTGACCCAGCCAGTGGTCGGCAAGTGCCGCCGCTGATCACTTGCTGACCGCTGAATGTCGAGTGTCTAGCTAAATTGCCCTACTCTAGCAACCTCTGATCTGATGCCTTTTCCTCAAATTGCCAGCTCTCTACGTGCACGTCTCGAGAATCCTCAACGTGTCTTGCGCCCTATGCCAAAGAGCTGCTGACGGCATTCTCTTTTCTCCCCTACATCTCCTTCCAAGGCCGATTCTTATCCTCCTGCATCCGAATGAGCAGGTCGACTTGGTCGGCTGTAAAGGCTGTTCCTATGCTTGTGAAATACTTGGGGGAACAACGACCAGGAAGACAGAATGAGGAGAAACTTTGAGCGTGCAGGTGAAGTGACCAGGGTGGAAGGACACAAGGCCTCCTTTGATGAGAAGGTACTGCTGCACATTTTTTTGCCCTGTCGATGAATGGCAAATTCCGTTTCTGCCCCGCTGCTCCAGCGATCCATGTCGCGCGGGACTTAACGGACGCCGATTTGCGAAGTGCGCTGTTGGTGATCAAGCCCTTCGAGCTCTCCACTCCATCCCTAAGATCACGCCCTATAGAAGAATTTTGGCGCTAAGATGCCGGAACAACTTAGTTTGCCTTCTGTGAATGGTTCTAGCCCTCAACTAATAGATGCACTGCAACCCCATATAATCTTAATCCCTCTTCCGCCTTGGCCCGTCCCGCCGCTAGCTCGCCGATGATCCGAGCGGCGCCGCCTTAAAACGGATCAACAAGGGGCGCACGGGAGAACCTGGACGGAAAGAGTTTGTTGGCTTCTAAACTGTGGGTCAGCAAATAAGGAACTGCTTAGGATCACGATCCTTAGGTATACTCTATGAATTTATTAAGGCTATCAGCATCGAGAGCCTTATAGGTATGTCGATCCTGGTTGGCCGTTGCCAAAGCTTTGATCAACTTTTAGCTCGACTAGCAGATATTAAAAGCAAGGACTGCAACTTTAAGTTTCTGCCGTCACGACATGAATCGTGTAACTGGCGCTGCTGTTTAAACTCGATGTTCCACGCGGCAATTGGATAAGGATTGGCGTTTCTGTCTCTCGACCACGGAAGTTCCCGTGTGGGAATCGCTACAAGGAGTCGACGCAGGGGTTGCAGAAATCAAGATCAGCCTCGACTGTCCATTCAACTTAATCAGATCTCAGTAGTATCCAAGATGGCCTGTCGGGGAAACCTTCTCACTTCCGGTTCGACCCTTCATATGATAATATCCTTCATTGCGCTTACTCCGTTCTGTAGACCGCCACAAATTGCCGCTCCAAGCAACCCCTGGCTGCGTCGTGCCCAGCCGCGATGACCTTGTGATGGCTCTCTGACAAATTAGAAGGATGCGTGAAGTGTGAAACTGAGAATTAAGCTTGCAATACCGACTGGACATCCCTCTCGTGCTTATAGTGGGATCGTTCTTGCGGATGTGACGACAGGGAGGAAGGAACTTCTTGGGAGGATAGTAAAGCTCCTAAGCTGTCCCACGGTCGGAGATCCAAGAACTCCTCACGGACCCCGGTCCTGTTGGCATACCTACCCCAGGGGTGGGAACCTGCCCAGTGCCGATTTTAACGTACCAGGCCTGTTTGGTTGATAAAACCTGCACAGACGGACTACAATTTGAAGCCAAAAGTCGGACGCTCGTGCAAAATTCCCAACTCGCTGATTGGTCATTCTCTCGCCTCTTGTTGCTCTTAGTTTCCTTATTTCACAAGGCAGCTAACCAGCACTGAACTATAACAAGCAAGGCTTATGAGGCCCCCAGCGTTGACCCACACGGCTCTGCGTTCTGTTAGAGCACAAAAAGGGTATTTCAGACCAGTGAACGAGCCCTCCTGCCATCTCCACCTCCTCCCCCTCACCTTCGCACCAGGGCTCGCCCATTGCTTAGCGCCCGCTACTATGGTGGCGTGCTACGATTCCAGGAAGAAAATGGCAGGACCTACGGAGGGCCCTTTCAAAAGTCTTTTCCAAGCGCTAAATGCGCCACATCTCTCAATCCTTGTTAGTTACCTAAGATACAAGGTGCAGAATCCAGCCACAATGAGTCAGCTGCTACATCCACTGTAATTTTAGGGGTGCTAGTGGGATTGGAATGTAATACAGTGAGGATAGGCTGCTGTAAAATTAGCAGCCTTTAGCGGATAAGGCACCATAGAAAGTACTTGATGTACTTAACCAAGCCACAGTCGTCGGATTTCCTTTTTCAAACTAGTGCTTGGAAAAGACTTTTGAAAGGGCCCTCCGTATAATGCCATGAGCTCCGACAATAAGTGCGATCCCCGTCACATACAGTCATGCCTTCATTTGACATGTCATTTAAAATAGAATATAATTACCCGAACGATGAGGGTGAAAACGAGCGTCTCGGTAAATATCTGCGACCACGAGGGTGAATCATATGCTGCAGTGGCAAAAAAGGACGGCACAGACCTGCATCACAACCAATGGCTCCTCACCTTTCAGGGGAAGCTTGGCTTATCCCCTAAGGTGGAAGGTTCGGCCAAGCGTGCCTGGGATGCTGGCACCGGAATGGGGTTATGGGCCAAGGGAGCAACCTTGAAAATAAATGCCCGGGCGACAAGGTGCCTTAAGGCCGAGCTGCGCCAATGAGTCCAAGGACCATGGCAACCTCAATGGTAATTTAAATCATGCCCCAGGCTTACGCCGTCAGTGCTGGCACGGGTAAGGCTGGGCGGAGGACTGCCACCCGCCCTGTCGGGTAAAGCCGAGCGAGTCAGTTCAAAGTTACGCCCACATTCCGTCGTGCCTCAGTTTCCACCTCCCGTCAAGGCTTCCAGGCTTCGCGAGCCATGATTGGATCGCATTGGGCTGCCTGAATTGGCGGCTGGATGCGACGGACGCAATCCAAGCGCAGGAATGTTATGCCCAGCAGAGAAACAAGACGGCGACTTCGACTCACGCTGAAGGCCACGATCAGTGCGGTACAGGGGTGAGGTGGAGGCGTGAGACCCGAGAGAGTGGCTCCGTCGCACGGCAGCTAGGCAATTGGGTCGAAAGGCCCACCCTCGCCGGGATCCAGCATCGACAAGATCGGCTGAGGCTGGACCTCGCAATCTATTGGTGGTGGCAGTGGACTGTTGATCAAGACGGAAATGGACGAATCAGATTGTACTTGTCTGTTTCTTCTAACCACTTGCGTGTGCCGTGGATGCAATAGTCGCATAGACCAGCACCGAACTTCACGTCAATTAATGGGCTGGGCTGCACCCTCTTGAATACGGCACTCCGGTGATTGACAGGTGTCGCTCGTGTGCCGAGACAATACGATCTATACGCCGTCCGCTGCTTCGGGAATCGCGAATGCTTATGTCGCTGATGGCTCATATCGGCCAGCGGCGGAGCCATGATCGTCGTGAGGGGGACAAGCCGATTGGTGGTTGAGCGCCAACTCAGCCTTTTGGGATAACGCAAAGCCTCATGCTGACGGATTCCCGTCGTGTAGCTCGCACTCGTCGGAATCGTATGTTTGGGCAATGTAAGGAAGGCACAGATGAGACACAGAGTGTCATCATGCAGATTCGGCCCGTCCTAATACGGAAGATCCCCATGACTAGTGTAGCGTAAGCCACATTTTTCTCGATGGGTATCTGCTTGCTCGTGCCGCATTGCTCACTACGACGTCCTGATCCACTAGATCATACACCTCACGCCCGGACCTGCCCTACACCCCTAGGCTAGACCCGACCGTCACACAATTGGCTGTCCGAGTGGGGGGTGGTAGATGGTACGTTATCTCCTCTCCGGGGAAAGAGAAAACTACGTCGATCCATTGCCGTTTTTGGTTTTGATAGAAACCCTTGTCGAAGACCCTATTGACGGCTTGTTTGACCGGCTGCAGCCACAACAGCCCCGTCGTAGGGGTCGAGTCTTACAAGCAAGGCGGATATGAGCACACGCCAGATAGGTGCCCAATTGCAGGCAGCTGATCAAGTCGTGGAGGGACACATGGGTATCAGACCTTCGGTGGCGCTTGATCAACAGACAAATGTAGAGGTGAGCAACCATGAAGCAAACGAAGCGTTTATTCAGCTTGGCGGGTCACTTACCGGTGTGAGAGGGGGCAAGACGCAATTGTCTTGAAGGAAGATGCACAAGAAATCGGGGTGGGGCAGTAAGGGGAGACTCAGCAGCAAGTGCCACCGGATTGGGAATAATGGCCCCCAGTCGTGCAGTAGGGCAGACCGGCCCGCCCGTCGCAGATCGCTTAGAGCTGACTAGATGATATGCGTTATCTATTCGCCCTCAAAGGAAAACCCATGCTGCTGCATTGCAGGTGTTGGTTGTGACCGAGCCTGCTGTCTTTGTCTCACACAATACGAAGACCAATGAGTTGCTTGTGTCCCGGCAGCAGCCAAGGCGGATAAAACCGGCAAGATGCGGTATTTTCTCAACCAACGTGGCCGGAAATGCATTGACCCATTGCTGCCTGATACTCAAACCTGCAGCAACACCAAAAGAGTCATGCACTTTGCCGTCCGAACTGCACTTGGTCGAGCTGAGGTGGCTTACTGGGGGGTTGCAGTCGCGCGTGATCAGCCGTGCGGCGTTTGAGGGGGGCCCGAGCGGTGGTCAGTGATCAAACGACCCTCTTTGTGTTGCTCAAAGACGTGCATCCTGACGAGACATTGGATCCGGGAGGGGAGACCATTCCGTCGTTATTGCAGCCTGACAGCTCTTGGTGTTGTGGATCATTGTGGATCACTCTCTGTGGTACGGAGTAATGAGACCAGACGGCAAGTGGGCTCAGATCACAACAGCGTGTCCGCGATTACTAACCAAAAGCAGCCTCGATTTTGGCAGACCGTGCTTCAGCTGCCGAAGATAGGATGCTGAACACTTGCAGAATTTGGCCTTCAAGCAGGCCTGTCATGGAACAAGCAGCGACGACGTTGAGCAGCAAGCGATGGGACGACGATCCGTGGGGCTTGGGGTGTCAGGTACCAAATGTTCTGAAATGTGAACTAGATTGTGTCAAGGCCCTATAGGGACTTCCCTCCGAGCGAAATAAAATCCATCCATCCATCCAACCGTAGTCATCTCGGCTGGACCTCCCTTATTCGTCTGACAGCTTTCATCGTCACGTGAGCAAACGCCTTGTCAGACGGAGGGATCCGGCCGACCGGATGACTAAGGAAGCGGGGTCTCGGAGACCGTAGATGAGGGAAATCCCTCGCCGGTCAAGATCAAGAACACAATCAATCAGTCATAACGACGTTATTAAGGTCGTAATTATCATCAATTCAATCAGCCTATTTTGGCATCATTTGATCGTACATTTCCCTGTGCCAAAGGCACCCAACTCAGACCGTCAGACCCCACTTACGGAGTCACGAGATCTGACACGCCTCAACACCGGGGCAAAAGTCGGCCGGTCCTTGGGTGACGTGTCGCAATCTGATCGATCCTGGCCACCTGGCAGGTTTCTGTCTCTGCAAAAATTGGTCCAAGCAAAACATCTGCCAGCTTCTAATAACGTCCTTTGCTACACCCATCCATTCCTTATTCCTGCACCACAGAATCTCGTCGAAGAGGAGAGAATGAGGAATTTAGGGGAGGATAGAGCGTAGCGAAAAGCTGGGCAATACATGATGCAAGGGAGATGATAAACGTCCGTGGCCTTCATCATTGACAGAGGCGAATTATGGGATTGAAAATATCAATATCAATGTCTAGGGTGGTGCGGCGTTTGTTCCATCTGACTTCATCCATCCACCCTTGCCAATCGTGTGCCTAGACGGGACGTACCGTAAAACGAGCTCCATCCACGTCGGCATTACCAGCTGCAAGCCACTGCGCGTGCTTCGCGGGCGTTCTCATGTCTACCATATCGCGTTCAGACTCAACAACCCATCCGTCAAATCTAGAACTGCCTGAGATAACCCGCTGGTTATATTACAAGCCCGGATAGAAAAGTGGCATTATTGTTCGGAGACTCCTTCCAAACCCCATGGCCATAAAATCCCAACGTCTAAATGCGAATGCCCCACTCGATACCCTGCCTCAGAGCTTGTTATTTTTTGGTGGAAAACCTAGCCCTTTAAGAATATTCTCCATCCTCTTCTTCGACTCATCGACCGATAGCGACTCCTGGAAGCCAGGCGGGGCTCGGTGGTGCGGAGGATCCTCCCTGAACCGGTGGACGGAAAAAGTGGAGTCTTTCGGTATGGAGACGGTTCGTCCAGGACTAGAAGGATGAGGGCAAGAGTCAGCAGGATGCGAGATACTGATATGAATGACTGGAGGGACTTTAGAACAAGTGAAAGGATTGAAAGGGGCCTGTTCACTTAAAATGTGGTTTGACCACTGTTTGGGGTGATGATGAAGACATAGTAGTGGTTGTTGGAGTGTGCAATCTCCAGATCTGCTCTTATTCATAGATAGGGCAGGGTTGGAGCAAGGAGGTATGATGACGATAAAAAAGGTGTGGACAGATTTGGGAGACTGAGGGATTACAGGAGGAGCAAGACCCAACTTTATTCCTACAGTTTTGGTCACGGAAACGAAAAGGAGGACGGTTTTGGAGTGTTGAACGTTATGTTTTACTTCACGGAGCATGGGGGGCTCCTTGCTCATGGATGATGCCTCTTGTCCTCGATACACGCGGTGAGGATTCTAAGGCTGCGAGAGCTTAATGTTCAGACCATCTTGGACCTGGTCCCACCACCCCCCAATTAGGGCGTATTGATCGCGTTTCGAGAAGTTTGCTTCTTCAGTCTTAGCTCACAACCTTGATTGGTCAGAGTGGCGACCAGGAGCGACTTGAGCGAGCTAAATGTGCAGACCGTCTTGGACCTGCCGAGTTAGGATCTGCTGAAGGATGCTACTGAAACCACTTGCGTACCCAAATTCAGGCACCGCTTGCCAAAAGAAATTCTCGACCCACGCAGAGCCTGAAGTAGTACCTAGTCAGTAGCCGCATTGGACACCACACCAACTGCGCCCACGCGGACGGTGTGCGGGCGATGTGTGCTCTGTTAACGATGTACCTTTCACATTTGCTGACTTGTCTGGCCGTCCAAACTCACTTTGGAAGCAGCTCTGAATTGGGATCCCGTGGTGAGCCCTGAGTCAGGCTGCTGCATGATTTCTGAGTGTGATACCCCTGCGCAGCTGGCTCTTGCATGAGAGGCCATCCATGGTGACGCGGGATACAAAAACAGGCGTATAATTGGTTGAGCCCTCGCTTGACAGCATCCCTGCGGGCGGTTCTTTCACGTCAGTGATGCTCATCTCCACGTTGCTCCACGTTGCACGAAAAGTTCCATGGGGATGCGATTATTGGCGCGGCGAGCTCCGTCCCTATGTTTTGACCGGGCACCCCATCACAAAAAGATGGCCATGGTACCCCGATAGTGAACCTAGAATTGTGATTTCATTTCATAGGAGACCTCGCCTCGGTGAACCGCCGCACGGAGTCCTAACACCATTCTTCCATGCAACCGCTAAAGCAGATCGACCGGGGTTGGTCTGATTCTTTGCGCGCTTCTGTCGCTCCTATCTTGTTTAAGGCTCTCGACCCTTGTGTTGCTAGCGGTGAATTGGCAAACGAGGCACTGCCATTTCTGGTGGCATGTCGATTCTATGCAAGTCGAAAGCGCGATGTTTCACGTTGGCCAATTGGAATTCGAAGAGTTGAGTCGCATGCCCGTTGTCTTTCCGCGGCGCGACGAAGCACTGCGACATGACTTATTCTGGGCAAGCAACTGTCAATACACGCGTTAAACATCCAACACGAGTCATTACTGGTGATGTGGAAGGAGGGAGACGAAGCATTGTGTGCGGTTAGGTCCTCCCGTAGCTAGCCTTTATATCCTCCATCTGCTTTTCGCTAATAAGTTATTTCAAGCTGTAAAGTCATTATTAACAGCTCTAAAACCGTGACGGCAGAAACGCAATCGCTTGTGCTGAAGCTTAGGTACACCCTTGGCTGCGCTGTTGGCTACCTTGACCCTACACCTCCTTCCTCCCAAGAGAGCCAGCCTTCAAGGGCTCTCAATTGGAAAGCTGGATCCAGGGCGCTCGAGGCCCATGGCCCGGGCGGTGGGGATCGCTGGAGACGCTGTGACGACGCACGACCACACCCCTGCAGGGCCCTTAGGGTTGGGCTTTTTTTAGCGTCCATCGCCCTACTCGCTCCCAGACACGCCCCCCTGCCCAGCGGTCCTGGTCGCAAAGCATGGGATGCTGGGGATGTCGATCGGAATAAAGTCGATTCACCTTCAACAAAGACGACGTGGCTAGCTTATCGGCGAACTTGAGTACTTATCGGCGAACTTGTTCTTAACATGCATTCCCATACAGGCGGTAACGTCGTCCTGGAGAGACCGAAAAAGGCGACCATGAGACATGCAGTGCAGGCTGCGTCTGCCTTCGAAACACCCAGCCGTCCTCGTGGTCGAGCAGACGTCTACGTGCCGCTGGTGCTGCTGTGTTTTTACTGCTGTGTTTTAGACGGGGCCGCGTCCCCGGCCGATAGGCATTTCGATTC